GGGTTCAAGCTCCTGTTACAATAAGCAATCAAAGATTAATCCCAAAATACAAATACTATAAAAAGATACCCGTACAGGTGATCTAGAATAGAGTTAGAAAATCATATATAGGATTTAACTATATTTCTATTAGTGAATAAATACAAATTACAAGAGATTAAAACAATAATTAATGGTCAATTGAATGCATCGAAATCTATCCACAGGATTTGGTTTTAGAGTATAGCAACTTTTTATTTAATTAATTTTCCATTCTTTCATCTCACATTTTGATCGGAAAATAGAAAGAGTTGCGGATGATGTAAAAAAACTCAAAATGAAGAGGGAGTTCAAAGATGAGCCAAGAGTAAAGATGTCGAAGGTAACGATTTAATTTAGGGAATGTAACAGTCATTTGTTTCGAAAACGTCGTTAATAGGAAACAAACGACACATTCCAGGTAGAAGAGATTACTAAGATAGTGACAAAAAAAAATCGAAACACAATAAAACGGCCTAGTCGTTGTGAATTGGAAGAAATTCTGGTTCCCTATTGTTACGTAAACATACAATTCACGGGGAGATAAAGAAATAAATCGAATCAAGTACTCGTATGTCAACCCTTCCCGAGAATATGAGAAAATAGGACATTAGGTATTTAGGTAACATTAGGTATTTAGTATGAGAAAATAGGACATTAGGTATTCAGGTATAATAATATATATTATATAATATATTAAGTAATATTAAGTATATAATTAGTTAGATATAATATATAACTAATATATAACAAATATTTTATTTATATATTAGTCTATATTTGTATTTCCTTGTCTATTCCACGCTTTCTTTTTAAAGTGAAGTTTTTAGTTTTAAATTATTCTATATGCACGTTAATAAATTTTTAACCTTTTTAACCTGGTATATGATTGTATCAATATTCTTTTATTTTTTTTATTCTATTTTTTATTTAGTTCTTATTTTTTTAATAATTTTTTCTTTATTCTCGAGTCAATTATTTATTTTTTTAGTTTACCGTCTTCGAATGATTTTTAGTTTACAGTCTTCGAATGATTAGGAGTTGGATTTTCATTGATTAGGAATTAGATTTTTAATATCACTAACTATTTTTTTTTTTATTTTCTATTCGTGCATAATGATTATTTTAATATTGTTAATTTTAATATTGTTGTTAATTTTAATATTGTTAATATTGTATTATTTATTATATTGTATGATTTATTCATTACTATATTTTTTAGTTATTACTATATTTTGTATTTATTACTATATTTCATTATTTATTTCTTATTTTATTAATTATTTATTATTTTCGTGTCGGTTCTATATATATTTATAAATTATATTTATTTATTATTTATGTATTATCACAGTTATAGATATTTATTTAAATTATATTTATATATTAAATATATTAAAATATTAAATTATATTTATATTTTATATATTAAATATATTAAAATATGAAATTATATTTATATATTAAATATATTAAAATATGAAATTATATTTAAATAAATATCTATAAATAATATAATAATAAAATAAACTAATAAAATAAACAAATAAATAATAAATAAATAATTAAAATAAACTAATAAAATAAACAAATAAATAAGAAATAAATAATAAATAAATAATACAATAATAAAAAAAACAAAGCAAATCGTATTTATTCTATTAATTCTATAATTTGAATTTGATCCGATCAAAATAGGATTTTAGAAAAGGATAGGATAGGATTATTTTTAGAAATAAGGAATAAAGAAATGATGGATAAATACAAGCGATCTTTTCGTAGGCGTTTGCCCCCGATCCAATCGGGGGATCGAATTGATTATAGAAACATGAGTTTAATTAGTCGATTTATTAGTGAACAAGGAAAAATCTTATCTAGGCGAGTAAATAGATTGACTTTAAAACAACAACGATTAATTACTATTGCTATAAAACAAGCTCGTATTTTATCTTCGTTACCCTTTATTAATAATGAGAAACGATTTGAAAGAAGGGAGTCGACCGCTAGAACTAGAACCAGAAATGAGAAACGATTTGAAAGAAGAGAGTCGACCGCTAGAACTACTGCTCTTAGAACCAGAAATAAATAGGCTTACCCTTCAATTGACTCAAAATTATCAAACGTAGACTGATGCTTTATTCAAAAAATCTGATAATCAAAATTGTCGTGTCGTAAGAAAAAAGAAATAAATAAAAGAATCGAATCGGGTTGGGGAAGAAAAATAAATTTTTTTTTTTTTTATTGAGCGTCTTCGCTCATCTTGTTTTCTTGTTTTGATGACCTTATCAGAATTTTTTTATCATATTAATTTCTACTCTACCTCCCTCGAGTTCATTCTCGAGGGAACCCCATTTCATTTAAAGCATTTCGGTGGATTCCTTCCGATCTCCTTATTTTATAATCTCGTTGGAAATCATATAAAGACAATTCCTATTTGAGATAGCTATTTGTGCAAGTATTTTACGATTAAGAAGCAACTGTTTCTTGTACCGATTTTTTATTAATCTACTATAATTATAGGATACCCCCATTCCTCGAATTCCTGCATTTATTCGAGTGATCCACAAACGACGAAAATATCTTTTTTTCCTATCTCTATCCCGATCAGCCGAAACCAAAGCTCTTACTCTTTGTCTCCGAGCTATATATCCCTCTTTCATTCTGGTCATTGAATAAAAGAAATTTTGATGAATAACTAATTCTTTCTTTCAGTTATTCTTTTCTAGTCTATTAATAACAAAACGGATTCTTCCAATGTATAAAATAAAAATTCCAATGGCTTTTGCTACTATAACCGTCCCGCCCACGATTTTTCCTTTTTCTAGGCATTTCATTTCGCCTTGAAATAAGAAATTGTATTGATACTAGGTATCAAAAAAAGCATATTAACTAAAATAAAGGAGTAAATAGAAATGGATAAATAAATAGTGGGTTCCATCGTTTCTATGGTTACTTCTTAAACGGTGAGGTCCCCTCTATACACCGGAGCTCATTCCTTCATTTAACATTTAATTGGTAACTTGTACAGTTCACACTCTTCGGCTCTACTCATAAATTTTTCAGTAATAGATCTTTCACAACGAGATCTATCTTATACAGTAACGGTATGTAATTAGGAGGATTAATTGGGTAGCTGACCCTGTTAGTCCGTTCTTTGCAAGAGTCGAAGCATAATCTTTTTGCTTTTTAAATAGGATTTTCCCCGCTTAATGGATAAGCATTTGCTACCAATGGGGAATTTTTAAAAAATTCCAAGATTGGATTTGCGCCAATGGAAACCATAAATTTCATACACAATAGAAGGATATGGTAGATCTATCTTTTTTAGATAGTGAACGGAAGAACCCCATTCTATTCACTGGTACTGATCGTTGATACTGAAAAATTGTTTCCTTTTTCTCAGCCCATGATCTGAACAAGTCGCACATACACCCTAGTACATCTTCCTCGGCGCTGAGGACATCCCCGAAGAGCAGGGGCTTTCGTGACATTTCTAATTGGCTGTCTTGCATTTCTAATAAGTTGTTTAATAGTTGGCATGCTGAATCATATACAATCATATACATAATAGACTGGTTTAGATCGATCCTAACCAGATGATTATGAATTACTTCTTTTTCTCTTTAATAGATTAATAAAATATTAATCTATTAAAGAGAAAAAGAAGGAAAGGAATAAGAGGGATTAAATCAATCTAAATCAAAATTAAATGGTGTTCCATTGTCGTCAATGGTGGTCTTCCATTGCCATTGTCGTCAAATGGTGGTCTTCCATTGCCATTGTCGTCAAATGGTGGTCTTCCATTGCCATTGTCGTCAAATGGTGGTCTTCCATTGCCATTGTCGTCAAATGGTGGTCTTCCATTGCCATTGTCGTCAAATGGTGGTCTTCCATTGCCATTGTCGTCAAATGGTGGTCTTCCATTGCCATTGTCGTCAAATGGTGGTCTTCCATTGCCATTGTCGTCAAATGGTGGTCTTCCATTGCCATTGTCGTCAAATGGTGGTCTTCCATTGCCATTGTCGTCAAATGGTGGTCTTCCATTGCCATTGTCGTTAACTAGTCTCCATTTTTTATTCACTATAGGTTTGTTATTCACTATAGGTTTGTTATTCACTATAGGTTTGTTATTCACTATAGGTTTTTCATTCACTATAGGTTTTTCATTCACTATAGGTTTTTCATTCACTATAGGTTTTTCATTCACTATAGGTTTGTTATTCACTATAGGTTTTTCATTCACTATAGGTTTTTCATTCACTATAGGTTTTTCATTCACTATAGGTTTTTCATTCACTATAGGTCTCGATTCTGTACGCACTATATGATCCACAATTCCATGATCTTTGGCTTCTTTTGCTGACATAAAATTATCTCTTTCCATGTCTTTGTTTATAACCCATCGGGGCTGGCCCGTTCTTTGTACATAAGCCTCTATGATGTCTTCTTGCATTTTCATTACTTCGTCTGTTTCCATGACCCAGTCTTTGAAGCCATCATCCTTAAGCATACTAATAGGTTGATGGATCATTACCCTGATGATATAACATACTTCTAACTCACATAATGAGGCGAGAAGAATAGCTATAGAATTGAACAACCGTACAGGCATTTTTTGCGCATTGCATACGGCTTTACAATTGCATACGGCTTTACAATGGAATTCTCTTTTTTCTTTCATCGAAAAAAAGAGAAAATATAGAGTCTATTAGACCCAGATTAATAAATAATCCAATTACCATCCTTCTTTTTCTTTTTTTTTCGGAAAAGTTTAAAAATACTATGATGGCTCCGTTGCTTTATATATTTATTTCGTCTGTGATTCAGCAATCCCAAAGTTTCTTTTTTTTTTTCAAAAAAAAAAAGAAAGAAAAAAAATAGTCTTTTTTTTTTTCGTACTCTTTCATAACATAAATATTGTTAATAGCCTCTGGTAGGAAAAGAAAAAAAGTTTGTGACGCCTGAGATGGGCCCACGATAGCTAAGATCAAATTGGAAATGCCCCTTCTCTCATACTACTCTTTCGATACATAATCTAATATTTTTTTTTGAAAAAAAAAAAAAGAAATAAAAAAAAAATTTCATATCGAATTCAAAGTGCCATGCTATTATTACTTACTAATTCATATTTCATATGGCGAAGGCATAGTCTTCTTTTTTCTTTCCATCAATAATAAAAAAAAAAACTCATTGGCGCCGAGCGTGAGGGAATGCTCTGCGTTTGGTAATTTCTCCTCCGACCAAGAGAAAAGCTGCGATTGAAGCGGTCAATCCCATGGCTAGTGTATGCACATCTGGTTCCACTGCTTGCATAGTATCAAAAAGAGATAATCCAGATACTATCCCTCCGCCAGGAGAGTTTATAAAAAAAAACAGGTCTCGGCTATTACTCTCTATACTGAGATAGATCATAATACCCGCAAGTTGATTCGAGGTCTGGATATCAAGCTCTTTGCCCAAAAAAAGCAATCTTTCTCGATAAATTCGGTTGATTAGGATAAAATTGTATCCCTTAGTAGCCGTACAGGCACCTTTTGATGCATACGGTTCAACAAAAATTGCGAAAAAAAATCAATGTGTAGATTCCAGCCATCCTTTGTTTTTTCTAGTCGGACCTTTCTAACTTCTAATTTCTAATGAAGGGGCTTTTTCTTACATTTTTTTAAATAAAATGAAATTTAAAATTAAATTAAAGAAAGATGAGTTTTGGCCCGTTTTCCTATAATATAGAAAAAATTCGCTAAACTTATTGCACAAACTTTTCATTGATCCATTTTTTTTTCATTGCGATTCAATCCAAATCACGATGTCATTTTCTTGTTCCTGAATGGGGTTCGTCAATTTTTTATTCAATTTTTTTAGGTTTATGCTCTACTCCGAGTAAAGATCTGCCCGATTTTTATTTGCACATATAGGACAAATGACCCAATACCACGTCTTTTTGCTATGATTTCATTTCCTTTTTTTATTTTAATTTAATTCCTTTTTCTTTCATGTTTTTCGCCAAATATTCAACGTATTTCCCATATTATTCGATTGATTAACAGTTTGAAATCGCTCTTATTTATAATTAAAAAAAAAAAGAAAAATTATGATTATGATATAGGTGGTAATCATAAATATATTACCAATTGGGTTTTTTCTAAACGGAGCCTGGATACTTCATTTTATCAGTCCAACCAAGCCAACCATAAATCATTCTAATTGAAAATATTAATCTGGATACACCCCCATGAAATGGATCTCTAATTGCACTTCATTACACTTCCCGCTACAAATTTTTGATAATTCAATCAATCTTTTTGGGGCGAAACAGGGGATATCTCGATCGGGCGAGAGAACGGGGGAATCCCATATGACCCAATATATTTGACAAGTCGCACTATATGTCAACCCAGCTTGCATCGTTATCTCCCGGAACTTGAAAAGGAACTTTTGGAATACCAACAGGCATAAAGTAAAAAGAATGTAAAATTATATTTCGCTTTGATTGTGGAAGCGTAATACGTAATGTAATACGTAATAATGGTCTTATCTTAATAATATGTAATATTATATTTCACTTTGATTGTGGAAGCGTAATACGTAAATGTAATACGTAATAATGGTCTTATCTTAATAATATGTAATATTATAATATGTAATATTATATTTCACTTTGATTGTGGAAGCGTATACGTAATGTAATACGTAATAATGGTCTTATCTTAATAATATGTAATATTATAATATGTAATATTATATTCACTTTGATTGTGGAAAGCGTAATACGTAATGTAATACGTAATAATGGTCTTATCTTAATAATATGTAATAATGGTCTTAATAATATGGGCCTTTATCATATTTTATACATAGATAGACTAAGGCCATAAAATAAAGAAAGGCGGAATGAATGAAAGAGAATTCTTACGAATAGGTCCTTTGAATGATGAACAAATAGGGATGCATTCATTCATAAAAAATAGGATCAACCCCCATTGCGTATTGATACTTATCGAGTATAGAATAGATCTGCTTCTCTTTTTTCTTCTGAGCCGAATTCTTCCCTTATTACTAATGGAATAGAACAAACATTAATCCTTTCTCCGAAAGAATCCACCGAAAAGGGGAGGTATTCCAATGCAATAAAGTTACATAGTGTCTATTTTTCGTTGATTTGATAAAGGGGTATTTCCATGGGTTTGCCTTGGTATCGTGTTCATACTGTCGTATTGAATGATCCCGGTCGCTTGCTTTCTGTTCATATAATGCATACAGCTCTGGTTGCTGGTTGGGCCGGTTCAATGGCTCTATATGAATTAGCTGTTTTTGATCCCTCCGATCCCGTTCTTGATCCAATGTGGAGACAAGGTATGTTCGTTATACCCTTCATGACTCGTTTAGGAATAACCAATTCATGGGGCGGTTGGAGTATTACGGGGCGGACTATAACAAATCCGGGTATTTGGAGTTACGAAGGTGTGGCCGGAGCACATATTGTGTTTTCTGGCTTGTGCTTCTTGGCAGCTATCTGGCATTGGGTATATTGGGATCTAGAAATTTTTTGTGATGAGCGCACAGGAAAACCCTCTTTGGATTTGCCCAAGATTTTTGGAATTCATTTATTTCTCTCAGGAGTGGCTTGCTTTGGCTTTGGCGCATTTCATGTAACAGGATTGTATGGTCCTGGAATATGGGTGTCCGACCCTTATGGACTAACCGGAAAGGTACAACCTGTAAATCCAGCGTGGGGCGTGGAAGGTTTTGATCCTTTTGTTCCGGGAGGAATAGCCTCTCATCATATTGCAGCAGGGACATTGGGCATATTAGCGGGCTTATTCCATCTTAGTGTCCGTCCGCCCCAACGTTTATACAAAGGATTACGTATGGGAAATATTGAAACCGTCCTTTCCAGTAGTATAGCTGCTGTCTTTTTTGCAGCTTTTGTTGTTACTGGAACTATGTGGTATGGTTCAGCAACTACCCCCATCGAATTATTTGGTCCTACTCGTTATCAATGGGATCAAGGATACTTCCAGCAAGAAATATATCGAAGGGTTAGTGCTGGGTTAGCCGAAAATCAAAGTTTATCAGAAGCTTGGTCTAAAATTCCTGAAAAATTAGCTTTTTATGATTACATTGGCAATAATCCGGCAAAAGGAGGATTATTCAGAGCGGGTTCAATGGACAACGGGGATGGAATAGCCGTTGGGTGGTTAGGACACCCTATCTTTAGAGATAAAGAAGGGCGTGAACTTTTTGTACGTCGTATGCCTACTTTTTTTGAAACATTTCCGGTTGTTTTGGTAGACGGAGACGGAATTGTTAGAGCGGATGTTCCTTTTAGAAGGGCAGAATCGAAGTATAGTGTCGAACAAGTAGGTGTAACTGTTGAGTTCTATGGTGGCGAACTCAATGGAGTGAGTTATAGTGATCCTGCTACTGTGAAAAAATATGCTAGACGTGCTCAATTGGGTGAAATTTTTGAATTAGATCGTGCTACTTTGAAATCCGATGGTGTTTTTCGTAGCAGTCCAAGGGGTTGGTTTACTTTTGGGCATGCTTCGTTTGCTTTGCTTTTCTTCTTCGGACACATTTGGCATGGTGCTAGAACCCTGTTCAGAGATGTTTTTGCCGGTATTGATCCAGATTTGGATGCTCAAGTGGAATTTGGAGCATTCCAAAAACTTGGAGATCCAACTACAAGAAGACAAGTAGTCTGATGCAAGATTGCTTTGTTATTTTTCGCTTCTATTTTCTGTTTGTGATTTGACATAGGCTGCTGTAAAAATCTTGATTAAAATCGCTGCCTTTTCTTTGATTCTTGTTCTTTCGTTATTTTATTCGGGAGATGATTCTAAATAAATAGGTACGGAAGCTATAATTGTAAACCACGATCGAATTTATGGAAGCATTGGTTTATACATTCCTCTTAGTATCTACTCTAGGGATAATTTTTTTCGCTATCTTTTTTCGAGAACCGCCTAAAGTTCCAACTAAAAAAATGAAATGATTTTTCATTATCTCAATTGAAGTAATGAGCCTCCCAATATTATATTGGGAGGCTCATTACTTCAATTAGTCCCCGTGTTCCTCGAATGGATCCCTTAATTGTTGAGAGGGTTGCCCAAAGGCAGTATATAAGGCGTACCCAGTAAAACTTACAAGTAAACCAGATATAGAGATGGCGACTAAAGTTGCTGTTTCCATTATTATATAATTATATAAATAATATATATAAATATAAATATAAATATAAATAATATAAATATAAATATAATTTCAAGATCACAATGGATCTATGATAAGATCGTTTATTTACAGCGGAATGATATACAAAGTCAACAGATCTCACTGAATACAAAATAAGATTTATGGCTACACAAACCGTTGAGGGTAGTTCTAGATCTGGTCCAAGACGAACTGTTGTAGGGGATTTTTTGAAACCATTGAATTCGGAATATGGTAAAGTAGCTCCTGGATGGGGAACGACTCCTTTGATGGGTGTCGCAATGGCTTTATTTTCGATATTCTTATCTATTATTTTGGAGATTTATAATTCTTCCGTTTTACTGGATGGAATTTCGCTGAATTAGATTCACAAGAACCACGAAGCCTCGCTTTTCAATACAAAAAGTGAAACTTTTAGTTCTCGGATTTTTTTTAGCCCATTCTATTTTGGTAGTTCGACCGCGAAATTTTTTTTGTTTCTGTATTTCCGGAATATGAGTGTGTGACTTGTTATAATTGATCCTATTGATAGTACAGAAAATGGGTCTGTCCTCTTGATCGAGATAGTTTTATCCCGTCGGATAGCCATTCTAGTATCTGGAGCACGGAATATATGAAATGGATCACGAAGTATTCGAACTATGATTCATACTTAATATTCAAACCTCGCGGCCGGACTCAAAAAAAAAAAAATTTTCAAAGAAAGAGGTTTTTTATTTATAAATCGAGAAATTTTTTCTTCTTTCAAACTCTCATTTAGTTTATGCTTATTTTGATCAAAGGACAAACCTTTCTTTTCTTTGTATTTTTATTTATTATATCTATTCTATTCATTGAATAAGTGATGATCCAATAATTCTTACTCAAAGAATCTTTGGACTTAGTTTGAAGGTTTTATTGAATCATCGCGGTTCTGGTATGAATCTGAAGTTTCAATTGATTCATAGGGTCTTAACAAGAGAATTCCTATTAAAAATAAAGAAAACAAGAATAAAGCCACATTCCATATAAATAACAAATCAAAGCAAAGAAAAAGAAAAGAAATAAGTAGGTAAATAGAAGATTCAAGAGGCCTGATCAACATAAAGACGAATGCGCCGACTTGATTTTTTGGCATTATAATTACAACTACAAAAAAGAGCTTTCGGATTTTTACTCTTTTGTGTCTTCAGATAAAATTGAATGAAAAGATTAAGAAGTTTCAAACTTTCTATTCCATATCCGTTTCAGCTATTATTTGGGTGTTTTTGTTTGAGCTGTACGAGATGAAATTCTCATATACGGTTCTCAGGGGGGGAGTCCTCTTGGTTTACCTATCTCAATAAAGTCTATGATTGGTTCGAAGAACGCCTCGAGATTCAGGCGATTGCAGATGATATAACTAGTAAATATGTTCCTCCTCATGTTAACATATTTTATTGTCTAGGAGGAATTACGCTTACTTGTTTTTTGGTACAAGTAGCTACAGGATTTGCTATGACTTTTTACTATCGTCCAACCGTTACTGAGGCTTTTACTTCTGTTCAATACATAATGACTGAAGCTAACTTTGGTTGGTTAATCCGATCAGTTCATCGATGGTCGGCAAGTATGATGGTCTTAATGATGATCCTGCACGTATTTCGTGTCTATCTCACTGGTGGTTTTAAAAAACCTCGCGAATTGACTTGGGTTACAGGCGTGGTTCTGGCTGTGTTGACTGCATCTTTTGGTGTAACAGGTTATTCCTTACCTTGGGACCAAATTGGTTATTGGGCAGTCAAAATCGTAACAGGCGTTCCGGAAGCTATTCCGGTAATAGGATCGCCTTTGGTAGAGTTATTGCGTGGAAGTGCTAGTGTGGGACAATCCACTTTGACCCGTTTTTATAGTTTACACACTTTTGTATTACCCCTTCTTACTGCTGTATTTATGTTAATGCATTTCCTAATGATACGTAAGCAAGGCATTTCTGGTCCTTTATAGAGAATATAGACCATAGCTATATTGTAACCAATCATTTATCTTATTACTTGCCAATCATTTATCTTATTACTTGGGGGAGGAACAATAGTATTTCATTGCTACAAATATGGATTGTTGAAAAAAAAAAAAAAATAAGACATGTATTTGGATATTTCCTTTCAACTCCACAATATTCTATTATTTATTTGATATGACATGAATAGTTGAAGGGAATTCCCCGAAGAGAAAATGGATTATGGGAGTGTGTGACTTGAACTATTGATTGGGCCATGCAGAAATATGCCTTTATCTGCTACATTGGAATTCACAACCAAATGTGTCTTTGTTCCAACCACCGTGTAAGCCCCATACAAAGGATAGGCTGGTTCGCTTGAAGAGAATCTTTTCTATGATCAGACCTGACGATGTCGTGTATGAACAGGGCTCCGTAAGATCCAGTAGAATAAGTGATTTGGCATAATGCAAATTAGATTTTATTTATTTATTTTTATTTTTTTTTTACTTTCTTATCTTAATAGTATGAAAATACATTCATTTCTTCTGCATCGACCCGATTTATTATTATTAT